AGGTAACATGTTTATCAGCTCTCAGAAGCAGTGAAATGCAGCAAGAATGCTGAAATGGGAACCTTACTAAGAGCCCTGCTCTTCACTAACTTTGTGAACTTGCACAAATTGCCTTTAAGAGTCAGTAAAATAAAGCAGACAAGCAAAACCTTCTAACTCTTCAATAAGAAATGAATCAGACAGTGCATCTTAGAGCTGTGAATTTCTTGACAGTGCTCAAAAAGTTTTAACTGTTAATCTGATTTGTGAAAATTATACTTTAAATTGTCTCTTCCAGTTGAATGAATTAAAGCCATTATGTGCTTGACAATAAGCAAGAAGGTTGGTTTCTGCTCTGTGGGCCCTCAGGGTGGGCATTACGGAGCTATGGCTGCAATCCTTGGCTTAGTGGGAATCCTATTTGGAAGAATACATCGATTCTGAAATTTCCTGTTTGAATTCAATCCTGAAAATGTTTAAAAGCATGTAATGAGGAGACAAATTTTTCTTCTTCCTAAATGAGGAGTCACACTGGCAATTAAATTTGTATGATAGAAAACAAAAAGGTTCACATCGTATTTATGATGGGTAGACCTTCTTGACAGTAACTATGGAAGAAACTTGGAAGTAGGAAATAGGGAAGTCAACAAGCTCATGAAAATCACTATGATCAAAACAGTCCCTTTTGGCACTTTAAAGGCTTTCTTCTTATTTTTTGAGACTATCTAACCTTACTGAAAAATCTCACTATGCATAAATATTTTTGTGGCTTTGAAATCACCATTTTAATGGTATATGGATGCTACACAGTGAGAAACATGAAGTGTATAAATATTCATATCAGCCAAAATGCTGTCATACCTTCAACAGAGTGGGATTTCCAAAATTAAAATATAAAAGGATTATACAATTCCTCTTCTCTTTTGTCTTTGGCTTCATGCTTAAATAAGTGGTGAAGATAAAGAAATGGACCCTGAAATTCATATCAAGGTTCAGGTGTAAGAAATTAAAACTAAAGACCAGTTCAACCCCGACAGTTTAATTTACTTCTCTTAAGATCTTTAATACCAAACTTATCAGTTCTCTCTGTTAGGCATTAACTTGTTAAATGAGTCTTAATTATACATAAGCAGATGGAGATTTGAATTAAAATTACCTTACACTCGAGTGGCTTTAGTTCATTATAACATATCTTCCTCTTAATCATTTAGGCAGTCTCATCATCTTTCATATAGAAAGTTATTAAAATATTCCAATTTCCATATTTCTTCAGATACAGCCACTATTAAATGGCAAGTAACGCACATTAGTAGGTGACTTATACCATCCAAGAGTTGGTGAATTATTCATGTCAGGAACAATTTTTGTACTTTTCTGTCATTTGTAGCATTTTCTTTTAAATACTTTATATTTACTTGATACATAGAACCTCACCTCATTTAACTTTAAGTACCAATTTTAATTCCATTTCACTGCCAGAGGGATTGAAACAGAACATTATCAACTTTATTCCATCCTTTGACTCATTAGAGTCCAGAAAGCAGAGATACAGAAAGTTTCAATAATAAAAGCTAAGTACTTCTTAATCACATCAGCCCTCAGGAAGACTATTGTACTCTGAGGGAAAATACACACTGCTTCAAATTAGCTACAGTATAGTTAAATAATAAGACATAGTGTAGTAGCAATTTATCTTGGCGAAGGTACTGTGTTCAAGTATTTCTTGCCCTACCAATTGAATTCAAAATTTGTTCTTTTCTGAAGCCACCAAGAATTCTGACACATGGTTATAGCCAAACACTGTTTTAAGACCACTGAGCCTCTCCAGGGTATAATAGGTTAACTTATGCCAAGTGTCATTGTAGTGTTTGCAAAAAGCGAGAAATTTACAGCTATTCTCAGAGGAATTCCCTTGAAAAAATTTCAAAGCCTCATGCTGCCATGCCTCGCTTTAGAAGTAGAATCCCCTTTGGGCTGTTATTTTAACCAACGAGTCAATCAACCAATAATGTTCTGTTCCAGAGGCATCACCGGATTTACAGGCAACAGTGACAGTGGCAGCAGAATCAAACTAGACAGCTAGCGAGAGTGGAAGGCCCTGAGCTTTGGCTGAGTCATGAAGACAAAAGGTCAGTCAGTCTTGTCAAGAACTGTCATATTTTATTTACAAAATGAAGCAGGATATCATCCTTTATGTCTAACAAAACTCAATATTCAGCAAAACTCTTTCTGTAGTGGGTAGCTGGTGTGAGCAAAGACCAATGATGAATCCCAAACCCACATGCAAGAGATTGCTCTTTCTAAGGAAAAGAAACTTTTCTCCAACTATAGAAAGTCCTCTCCACCAGCCTCTTCACTGTTTGGTGGAGTCCACATTTGCAACCCCAGGGAAAAGTTACTAAAATTCCAATAATTAATTGCAATCTACCACTCCCAGTGCAACCTGCTATGAGAATAAAGAGATAAATACATATCTGTAGTGATGGAGAGCCAAGGAGGTCTTAAGTCAATTAGAACAATGGCTAACAGGAACAAAGGCCTCAACCCACAGCGAACAGGCTCACATATACTAGTTGGAAGCTATAGGCAGGGCATCACTGACCTGTGGCACAGATTTAAAGACATCAGCACCCCAGTTAGACATATTCGCATTGCTGAAAGCCAGTTGAGAGGATAAAGAAATATCCTAGCTAGCTCCATACAGATCAATACATGGAGATAGGGCCAGGTTTAGCCAAACTGGAGACAAATGCTTTCTTTCAAAGAGAGCTGTCCTAGTGATCCTCTGCATCCGACCAATAGGCAAGAGTTTTGCTATTTTTTAATTACAGCATATTAGCAGTTTGACAACACAGCCTGCGAATGCATGTTTCTATAGTAACATATTTAAAAGTAAACATTCATACCTTAAAAGAAATGCAAACATACCATTTATGTTTTGTTTTGTTACAAAGTATTCACATATTTATCTATTTATAAACGTGTGTGTGTACGTAGGTGTGCATGCACATGTAGAATATGTCTGCACTGCCAATCATCATGGAAATAGACACAGGCCTTTTATTTTTGTTTTGATTTGTTTATTTCACCTACTGTCACATACAGTTGAATTACTTGAGAAATGAACATATAATGTGCTCTCGAAAGCAATTTGAATTAATAATCTTTGAAGGCTTTGAAAATCAGCCAGCCAGCCTCCCTACCAAGGGTGGATTTATATGTGGTCAATTCTCCCTCAGAAGCCCAGGCACTGTTTGGGAATCCTCCAGCCAGCTCTCACTCTAGACTCCAACTAATTAAGTTTTCTGCTTGCTGCCACTGAAAGCTTCAGTCAGGTGTAATTAAAACTGAGCCAATGACAGCGGTGGCATTTGTCAGAATCACCTGGTGGTTCAAACACCAGTGCTGACAGAAATGTCAAACTGATAGCACTCCCATCCTCTCTGTGTATGCCAGGGAAAATCATGGGAACTTTTTATTATAAATGCTTGGCTGATAACCTTTTTGAATCCCAGATCACCAAATACCTCACATGAAATTTCATTAGCTTGGAAAAGAATTGGCACAGAAATGCTCCCACCACATGAAGTCAAGCTCAACCTAACTCAGTGGTCTTACTTCTGGTAGATATTTCAGGGTCTTTTGAAATGAACCGACAGGAAATATCAGTCATATGAGAAGAAATAATCTACTTATCTAGGCATGAAACCACTAACTGAGTTTCATAGTCAAAACTGTAATCAAACTTATACGTTCATTTTTAAGATTTGAGCTTTATCTTTGGGTTCACTGACAAAAGGTAACCAAAAATCAGGAAAGCCTTCATTACATAAAAGAAGACACTAAGTTCTTTGTCCTTCCTCTATCTACACAAGTGTATGCTAGTGAAAACTGAACAAAGTCAAAACAGAAATCATTTGCACACACGAGCTACTAAATCTTTAAGACTTAATGACATTACATATAGAAAATATCGTATGTCTGTATTTTGCTGGCAATTTTTGTTTTTTTGCATTATATTCCACAATAAAATGTCATGAGGCAAAAAGGTTTTAAATGCCTAACTTCACATGTGCACCTACATTATGCTTTATAGAAGTGGGAAACAGATTAGAAAACATGCTAATGACACAGAAATACGACCCTGATAAGGCAAATAGATGCCAATATGCTTGCTGCTTGGGAATACTCAACAAATATTTGTTGAGTAATGACGAAGAGATATGAAAACAATAGTTTTCCTAGACTAAAGCTCAATAAAACTTTGGAGAGTAGAAATGAGATAGTATGTCATAGTAGGAGGAGACAAGTGGTGATTAAACCATTTTCCAAAGGATAAAAGAAGAAAATGTAGACTTGAGAGAGGCTCAAAGAAAGAGAAGACAAGAATGGCCAGATGAACACAGAGAAAGTAGGGACCTCTGCAGAGGATGGCGAGGCCCTTAGACAGAAGAATCAAATGACTTTTAAGTACAAGGATCTTTTAGTAGGTGGTTTTAAGCTTTTTTCATTTCCATATCTTAAATTTCTCAGTCAACTCAACCATCAGTAAGATCTACCACTGATAGAAGATGCAAAGCAAGGGACCACATGTAATCCAGAATAAAAGAGAGGAAAATGCTTAGGAAAGAAATGTGAATAAGGCTAAGAGTTCAGGGGGAAGCAGGGGTCCAGACCCAGAAGCACAGGTGGGAATCCAAGAGATTTATGGTAAAGTGGGAGTTGGATTTCATAAAACCATAGGAAAGTCTTGAGTCCCACGTGCATTAAAAAAAAAAAGCCTTGGTGATTTCAACAAATGCTTGAGTTTTACTCTCAATTGTTTAGTGAATCAAGTCACTGCACAATTATTTTCTGTATTTCTTACTATAGTCTTTCATTTGATAGCCCCATATACAGAAATGTTGCACATCAAAATTTTCAAAAATATTTTGCAAGAATAACAGTCTTTGTGGATGTCAAATATTCTTACAAAATAAAAACAATGCCTTTTCTGACAGTGACAACTACCCTACGAGAACATGCCTCTTGCAAAAGTCCTCCGCCATCCCTCTCCAGAGGAGGAGAAGGGGAAGCACAAGAAAAAGCACCTGGTACAGAGCCCCATGGACATGAAGTGTCCAGACTGCTATGAAATCACCATGGTCTTTAGCCATGCACAGTTGGCAGTTCTGTGTGTTGGCTTCTGCACTGTGCTTTGCCAGCCTACAGGAGGAAAAGTAAGGCTCACAGAAGGATGTCCCTTCAGGAGGAAACAGCACTAACCGTACCCTGAATCAAGATGATTGGGAATCCACTCCAATAAACACATTTTGGACTAAAAAAACAGATGAAGATTTCAGTTTCTTTGTGAAGCCAGTTTGTAAGTGCTAAAGGAACCAAAATAATACAGGACTCCTCTCAGAAGAGGGTATCTATAAAAGCTTTATAAGTATATTAAGCTTCACAAGAGGAGTTATATTTAGCAGTATTACCTAAACATATTCGACCAAGGACCCTGACTTCCAAGGAACCTCTTAAAAATTTTATGAGCATTCTTTGAAAAGCATTAGCTAGTGATTGTTTTCAATTAATCCACAAAAAAGTCAGTCGATTCTTTGTCACAGATGACTTTGAGAATACCTTGAAGGCCATGGATAGTCCCCAGGAAAACACAGTCTAAGCAGACGTAAAGAAATGTAACTTTAAAGTAAGTGTAGGCATTAGAGATCCTGAAAGTCAGAGGACTTTTAGCTATTCAGAGGATTCTTTATATGAATATGAATAAGACATTTATCATTCTACTGATGAGAATTTGGATTGTTTTTTGTTTGGTTTATTAATAATAATGCTGCTATGAACATACTTCTGCATGTCTTTTGGTGCACAAATGCACATGTTTCCGTTGCAGAAGTGAGAAGAAAATTACTGTTATAGAGGGTCTATGTTTAACTTTTGGAAGTACTGCCAAACAAGTTTTCAAAATTGTTGGACCACTTTATATTCCTCACTCCTGTGATAAACATTTCATCATGTTTTCGTTGCCAGTATCTTGGCAATGCTCCATATCCTAATGATGATATAATTCACATGGGATACAACTGATTTGCTTAAAACACACAATTCACTGGGGCCATTTGCTCATTTGTTTGTTTGTGACAGGGATTCTCTGTGTAGCCCAGGCTGGCCTCAACTCACAGCCGTCCTTTTGCCTCAGCCTCCCACAACTACTGAGATTGCAAGTGTGTACCACCATGCCCCATCAATAGTTTTTAGCATAATCATAGTATTGTGTATTCATCACCACAATTAATTCTAGAACATTTCATCTCTGCAGAAATAAATATCATTCTCTATTTCTCCTTAATCTTGTCAACACTAAGCAACAACAAATGTACTTTTTTCCTCCATCAATTTGCCTATTCAGGACATTTCATATAAGTGGGTTCACATGGTTTATTGTCTTTGGGGGCTTGCTTTTTTCTGTGAGCAGAATTTTAAGATTCACTCATGTTGAAACAGGCATTAGTACTTCATTACCATTGATAGCCAAATAATTTACATTAAATGGATGTATAACACAATTTATTTATCTATTCATCAGTTGAACATTTGAATTGTTTCCATTTTCACTATTGTGAATAATGCTACTTTGGGCAATCATTTTTAATTTTTTATGTGTGCTATATTTTATTTCTCTTGAGCATACAGAATGGAGTAGAATCAGTGGGTCACGAGGTAACACTATTCAATCCTTTGAGGACTAACAAAGCATTTTTATATAGTGGTAACACTATTTTACATTCACATTAGTAATTCATGAAGGTTACAATTTCTCCACATTCTTTATAACACTTGTGTCATCCAGTTTATTACCTAAAATATACAAACCGAAGAAAATACTGATTCTGCCAAGTCTACCTATATTGCTACTGAAATATTTAGGATAATCTAATTTCATCTGTTCAAAAATAGTTTAATAATGATTGTCTTGATGGCTGCACACATTCAGTAAGTGTACAAGTGTCCTTGTCATTTTATTTTCTTAACTGTGAACCTCCAGAAATACAACGAAACACAAAATGCACATTATTGGTTGCTGTTGTTATTTTAGAGCATAGCCAAGCACTGCTAGTAAGATCAAAAGAATGAATACTACTAATATTCTGAGGGAAAGTATAGACTCTGTTAGGGACCAAAGAAAGCAAAAGACTCTCCCTCTTCCAAAAGGGAAGTGTACAGGGCACATTCATGTACACAATTTTGTGTGCAATTTTAGAGGACTCACACCTAACTGAAACTCATGAGTAAACCGAGCATTAAGAATTTCTGCCCTGGGGCTCGGGATATAGCTCAGTGGCACAGCACCTGCCTGGCATGAGTTCAATTCCTAGTACAAAAAAAAACTCCTGCTCTGAAACAAAGAACACTTGTTTTTTGGTTTTAAGAGAAAAATAGAAAAAACATTTCATACAACATATTTTGTATTCAACAGTTATCAATTCTGTGGATCACAGAATCCATATTCCATGTTTTGTAAAAAGAGAAATGCAAGTAATTCGAGGGGTGAGTTGTAACACTTAGATTAAGAAATATAGTAAGAGATGACTCACTGAAGACATGTGACACTCACCTGCTTCTCCACAAAGTACAATGAGTGAACAGCTACATGCTAAGGTGAGTTACTATGTAAACACTGAAAATCAGCAAGGGAAAACAGAAACCTTGTAAGATTTAGAGATTATGGAAAACAGCAAAGTAAAAGAAAGAAAATATTGGAGCATGTGCTACCATAGCTCCATAGACAGAGGATGGTGAGTCTGTGCCTTGCTTGGGCAAGGAAATCTCAGTGAACTCTACTATAGACACTGGCAACAATGATACAGTCTCACAGGCTTGAAGCTTATCTAGATAAGTAACCTGGAATCTGAAGAGCAGTCTTGCTTTGCCGAAGATTTCACATTACCTCTCTCTCCTAAAAAGGTCCAGATAGAAACACTGCTTTAAGGCAGGTATATTTTGCTCTCACATGATCCTGCAGGTGCTTCAGCTGAAGAAATCAGGAAAACTCAGGCATCAGTCTGCCTCTGGGGATGCACAACCAAGTGAGAGAAAGGTTGTCCAGTCCCAGTTACCACTCACTCCTACTCACTCTTTTCCAGACACTAAAGCTAACAGCAAGCCCTGGTCATCACCCTGCCTTGAGTTATGTGTAGCCAGGAGGGGGCTGAGATCCCACTACTTAGTGGGTGTGGCCTCAGCAGCAGCAGAGTGGAACATCACATCTCTTGCCACCACCAAAGCTGTGTGATTCCCACTTCCTGTTCATCCAACACTCTGCCTCCACATGAACTATTTACAGGATGGGGTAAGAGCCCCATAGCAGGGATGCTGTGGCTCCTGCCCCACTCTTTCTCTGAGAAACACCTGGGGCCACACTACTGTCCTGTCAGAGGTTAAATCTTCAGGCTTCTCACTGCTACTGGTGCAGCCAAAGCCAGACACTGTACACACAGTGGAGCCACCTTCAACTGTGCCTTAGCAAATCCCCATCATCTGATAAGGCCACTACCACCAGTGTAGGAATAGCCACACAGTAAGCATATGCATGCTCTGCTGCCTTGTATCACACTTGCCTGAACTGTTAGGGTGTCACCACTCTTAAATGACATGCGGAGACATTGGCTCTTTCAAATGCCAACAGACATGGTATATGCTAAGCCAAAAGTCATGATTCCAAGCTTTAGGAATGCTTCTGGGTAGCACCTACCTGGAAATAAAGCCAACACTGTGTAACAAGCCAATACTCCATGAAAGATCTTCAGAAGAAAGTCACTTACTAAAAAGACCATTTTGTAAATATGGTAAACTTATCCAATCCACTAGGTGGGTAAATCTCAACACAGGAACGTAAGAACTATGGAGGAGGGGGGGACAGGTACTAAGATACCTCCCCAAAATTGTAACTCTAGTAACAGACTCCAAACAAAATGAAATGGATAAAATGGCTGATAATGAATTCACAAATGACTTTTTAAAATAGAATAGTTACCTCCGCTTTTTTCTGAGTTCCTGTTGCATGCAATACTGTTTGCCATCCCTTGACTTTTAATCTGTGTGTTTCCTTTTGGGTCAAATGTATTTCTTCTACACAGCATATTGTGGGATCATATTTCTTGATCCATTCTGTCAACCTACTTCTTTTGATAGGTGAATTGAGTAAAAAGTAATAAGAACTGTAGGAGTAATAAAACCCAAAATGTATAATTGCTATTGTAAAAAAGAGAGGAAAAGAAAGTGCTCTAAAAGATATAACTGCATGTATATTTAAGTGTGTATGATAGATGACCATATTACTAAGTTTTTGTTGAATCATTGAGCAGAATTGTTTGTAGTCTCACTGTTTGAATGTCCACTTTATATGATTTAGTTTTGTAACTTGAACAATTATTTCTAAGACAATAGTATGTAATGTATCAACTAGTGATTTCTTAGTGTTATTTATTTAATTTTTTTCGAATTTTGTATTATTGCTACCCCTTTTTTCTGTTTTGCTTTTTTTTTTCTCTATAAGTAAAACTTTTTCAAAAAATGACTTTTGGCCATACTAGAAATCAAACATAGAGCCTTCATGTTATGGTTTGAAAACTGGTGGTCAACTTAACGCCAGCTGGATTACATCAGCATGCATTGAGAGAAGATGCTCCACCTGAGGAGGGTTGCCAGGATAAATAGGTGGAGAAGAAGAGAGGTGTTAAGAGGGATTGAGGCATTAAGGAGACATTGTGGGTTCTCCTACGAGTTGCTGTCTGAGCTGTTGGTTCTCCTGGAGAAGCTTTGGTCTTCACATCGAGCATGGCTTCCTGGCTCTGGAGGGGAAGACATGTGCTGCCTGGTCTCCAGGATGAACTCGCCATGCTGCTTCCTGGCACGTACCCGACTGTGCTTGTCGTCAGAGAAGCTCGGGGCCTCCGTGTCGCTGAGGACAGCTGTGGTGCCATTCAGGACAGCCCCGCTCTTTGTTGTGAGTGTGACTTCTGGGCTCCAGTGTAGAACCCTCATCCCACTAGCACAGCTCCTTCATCCTGCTGGCATAGACTTTCTGGCTTCCACCGCTGACCCTTGGGTCTTCCCGGCACGAATCTGTAAGAGACTGGCGTGAGTCCTTCTTGTGGGCTCTGGACTTCCAGTTGGACTCATGGAGGCGTTGTCCTGAGCTCTGGGTTTTTATCTGGACTCATGTGGGACATTCCCATGGGGTTTAGACTCTTGGCTAAATAATCTA